CATGTATTTACATGTATGAAAGGGCGGAACATACTAAGCAACTTCGGTAAAGATATTGATTAACAACTTCAACAGATTTCATGACATTATTTATGCAAATGAGTTAATTAGTATGCAAATGTTAAAAACAAATGCAAAATGAATGCAGGTACTTCATTTCTAATCAATACAGAATATACAATACACATGATATAATCAGAAAAGCCAATAATATGCATGGCAATGCTTCTTTGAGAGTTGTGGTCCCAAACACTTGTCTTGGGTCTTCTTTCAGCCTCTTGTTTCTTAAATAAACCATGTTTGAGATGGTTAGATAAATAATTCTTTCATGAAATGAATACATAGTATGTAATCATTGAATCTATTTTCATGACAACATACTGTAGAATACTTTATTTTCGCTTGGAATTTATTTTCGCTATTTTCGCTGAAGGGATGATTCCGTGAAAATAAAATCCAGCGAATATACTTTTTTTCCTGTATTTCACATTAAACTCATCAAAAATCAGTGAAAATAAATTCCATACAAAATGCCTAAAAAGCCTTTTCAGCGAAAATTAAATCCAGCGAAAATAAAGTATTCCACAGTACATGATTTGACAAATAAATACAATACCTTTACACCAATACTGTCTTGTCAACACAATGCACATAACAAGACAACAAGACGATTTGACAATACAAGCGAACCAAACATAGCAGTGACAGAAGTTAGCTTTATAGGCCATGTTGGTCCATCGTGACATCCTCCGGTTGCTTGAGTTTTCTTATAGTGTTTTTTAAAGCTTGTCGTTTATTACAGAACCACACCCGAACTACTTCGCGATTATAGTTTAATTTATTCGACAAATCTGTCATATCTTGACTCGAAGGATGGGTAATCTTCTCAAAATGTGCATTTAAAATCTCTAACGCTTGTGGTGTGAAAGAAGTACGTCGTTTTCGTTTTTTTAACGGTTCATTACCCACAACATCGGTGAGTGGCCCCACACCATTTTTGCAGCGTTCTTCAGCATCTGACATCCAGCGTTCCAATATTGGTTTGATCTTCTGAGCACTCTTTGGGGTGATGTCCAATTTCTCAAACCTAATAAAATATTAAGATTCAAATTACAAATTTGTCAATTAAAAAACTTTTCAAAGCATATTGGAATTATGCATTTAACTTAGGAAACACTGTTCACTAATCTTACAAGTGACCTACATTTACCAATGGGAGTATCTCCTAATAAGAATGGATAGATATCCTCAGTGTATACACTCCATATTTGGAAATACCATTTCCTAATAAGGTTGAGTGCAGATACCCCCCACATTGAACTATGTGTAAATGTGGATAGTCATTTAGAACTTCCTTTGGAAACTCGGACATATTATCGTAAATATTGATACAAACTATCGTTGTCATGGTGTCATGTTTTTAACATTATATTTAAATTATGTAAATGCTGATTGATTAGACCAGATGTTTACGTTACTTTATATATAGAACAAACTTATGTTCAGTTAAATCCATTCATCATTCAACTCAATTTAGATGAAGCGCACAAAACCAAATTTAAACTTTGCCTTATGTTTGTTCATTCAAAGCTTGCATTTTGAAATCCTTAGTCGTTAGCAACCGGAATTTTGTCAGCACAAACCCTTTCGGCAAATATCACAGAAAATATCTTAGGACATGTTTTTATCTTGCAACCTTGTCTCTGCTGAAACTTACAACCAATAATTCATGATGTCATAACTTGTGACGTTTTTTGGACTACTTTATTGTATGCATCAGAATACAAAGTTTTGTGTTACATGTCATCTGATCACCCAAGTGTATTGACATGTAAAAAGTAATGCCATTGATGTAACTGAAAATTAGCTGAATAGACAAGAAGTTAAACGTGAAAGCTCTCTGGTTTCTTTGATGTTTTGCATGTTCCTGAGACAACACATCACATAACTCATTAATTATTATATGTGTATATTTTATTGAAATGGCGACCAAGTGGAGTGTCAAAATTGGTTTGGAATTGAAACAACAGCAGGACATCGTACACATTTATACACACAAACTCATTCAGTCAAGGTGAGAGTTGATTGGGTGCATATCCATATTGAATTTCAGTTCTAAAACAGCAGAAATACTGGGTTTGAGGAAATGTTGTGATGAATGAAAGCACACAATAGGTACAGTGATAACTGTATTTATTTCATACAAAATATGACTTGGAAGAGTTCAAAGGTCACAACACTTTTACTGTCACATATACAAAACATTTGTGTTATACACTAGAGAATACAAACAAGATTGAACGATGAACTACAATAACTGCTTTGTAAATATATATATATTAATCTGATACAAGACATAAAAACGGACCATTTTAACATATCTATTCAACATATTTTAAAAACCTGCCACAGAGGGCGCCAGACACAATGTATCAAGAGCATAACAACTGCACAATCTAGGACAAGGCATTATGACTAAAACAAAACCAGAAAAATGTATAAAGAGAGCGACAAATTTGAACAATGGAAGAAAAATGATTAAGTTGACTATACTAGTCGGAAACACTAAATAGAATAAATAGATGAAATACATTTTTTTTTTGAAAATTAGATCGAGACCCTATAAAATAATATAGGGTAGAATACTGAATATAAGCATTCATTATTATGACAACATTGCATTCTGGGAATGTCTAGTTATAGCAGGTGGCAATTTGATAGACCATACTTCCTTTTATCAAGCCAATCAGCTAAGAAATACTGTTTTCAATGAATGACTCTAGTTGACAGGTGGGTTACAAATTTATGTAAATAATCATCAATGATCAAAATAGGAAAAAACCTTTAACCAGACATCACTAAAACAATCATTTTGTCATGATTCTTTCCAGAATGCATGTACTGTTACATACTAATATCATCAAGGATTTGCAAGGGGAGGGTTTGCAATGGGTTTTGATGTGCGATAAAGATCTCATGCCAATTCCCAAAAATCACTAAATTGTGAGATGTTCACAAAATCACAAGAGAAATATTAATACAAACAATTTTGTGAAAGAACTTGTTAGTTTTT